CTAAGGGGAATGATGTCTTCGTGGAGGTTTTGGGAAGAGCTGGCTCGTATACACGATACACATGGGGAAAACCACAAAAACACTCATGCAGCCGCGGTATTCGAGCCTCGGACCGAACTACCAGTGTTCAGCGACTTTAGCGCTCGGCCGCTGGTGGGCCAAACTTCACAAGTAATGCGCTGAGGAGAAGTGAGGCGCACTTTGAACCTAGATAACATTCGGAATGCCTTCCGTGTTTTTCTCTATTTTTTATAGGCAGAATTACTAATACTGTTGTCGTTGCAACCGAACATTTGCAATTTTAAAAATTTATCTGTGTTTCATGCTATTTTTCAGTTGTGTAGACTAGAACAGCGCCACATTTCCCCAAACACCCTGTATATAATTTTAATAAATCCAGCTATTGGGATTCCACGAGTCCTGTTAGTAATTAGTAATAGAATACTCCAGTTGGTAATTAGTAATAGAATACTCCAGTTGGTAATTAGTAATAGAATACTCCAGTTTTAGTAATAGAATACTCCAGTTGGTAATTAGTAATTGAAATGAATTCACACTTAATGCTTTTAAATCGCTTAGTTTATAAATAATGGAATAACTTTGAAAAGAAAAAGTAAATAAATTACAATTTCCTGAATGATAAAACACTGCTGCTTGGAAGATAAAATAGTATCTTAATTTGGACATTAGCAATACATTTCTTTTAAATCGCTGAATTTGTTTATTAAATTCTGAAGACAAATCGATTGCTAGTGGCAACATACTTCGGTTACATGGCCTAAATTTGTGATTAAATTTAAAACCTTAATACCATAACTTCGCAGAGTCGCAACATAAACCTTTACCGATGACACACTGACTCTTCGCGCTATGTTATGTACTTACTTTCTTCAAAAACTTTTTTTTTAATTTATATTTTATTTTTTACTTTTTAGCCTCAATTACGCGTTATCAATAACGAAATTTGTAATCAAACGCAAACAATGAGTTATAAGAAAATTATGAAATAAAGTGTGTATTAAGAATATGGCAAAGCACACTAGGGCTATCTGCCTAAGGGGAGGGATGCCTTTCGTGGAGGACTTTCTAAGGGAAACTGGCTCGTATACACGTTACACATGGGGAAAACCACGAAAAACGCCCATGCAGCCAGCCCGTTCGCGGGATTCGAACCTCGGACCGAACTACCAGTGTTCAGCGATTTTACCGCTCGGCCGCTGGTGGGCCTTATGAAATAAAGAAAAATAACTGAACGTCATTTAGAGAACGCAGAAATAGCTTTCAGTATTCAGTTTCGGAAACTGGATTTACTAACAGTATTACTTAATAACCACTTTACTTGAACCCAAACTGAGAAAACTAACGCCACCAATTCGCCGTTAAAAGAAAGCGAATCATGCGTATTAAATGAAATCAAGATGGCAAGATGCGCCAAGATAGCAAACTGGAAACGCTTTTTACCCTATCTGCTTCAGACTGCAACACATTGTTTCAAAAAACGTAAAAAATCGTTTAATTAATATTTTTTATCTTTTTTATTTTAAAAGAAGGCGAAAAGTTTGTTTTATAATCTGCGAAAATTTCAAAACTACAATTTCAGACAACACTAACAAATACATTTCAGACTTTTAAATTTTAAAATCGTAAACGTCAATTAGTCTAAAAAATCGAACAATTTTCAAAAATTCAGAAATTAAGTTACAAATTTTATTGAAAAGAATATTTTCGCTCACTAATTTGTTCGTTGAACGACGATATGCGAGAGCAACTGCTTAAATATTAAATAAAAATAATTAATCTAATTTTTTGGAAAGGGCTGAAACACTTCAGCTCATTAAATTGCAATCTACAAACATGATGTTTACAAAATTTTAACTTATTAGTTTATTAGGAAGGGGTTAAAAATCGATGAAAAAATTCCACCTACAGTTAAATACCATGAGTGAACTAAATAAAAGCTTATAAAAAGGATTATTCGCTATCAGATTTGTTTTCCCACATTGATAGGACACTGAAAACGACACTATTTTAACTTCGAGAACCACATTTTCTGGTATTCCATAAATCTAGTAAAATGTATGGTAAGCCAATCATCGAATTTTGTTTTAGAACAAGATTACTTTACAGAGTATTTTTTCGAAAATTCTAATGGCAAGCAGTATAAAAATTATTTAGGGATTTTAAAAATTAAACCGTCATAATAAAAATTTTAAATAAGAAAAAATCCCAGTATCTGGAACTTATTTGAAATTCGTAGAAAAATCTGGAAATTCGCGAAACAAATCTGGAAAATTGCGCTGCGATAATGTTACTAATCTTCTCACGATATTATCTTGCATTTTTATTCCGAAATACGCATGGTATGCTTTCTTTTTACATACGATATCAATCGAAGATGTTTACCTGCAACAGACAGTTTATGTCAATAACAGCAAATGCTTGCGTAGATAAAAATATTGCATTATATGCTTAAGCATTATGCCAGTTTGAGATGCTCATTACATATTTGCACTCGGTATTACGTCAATCGTATGACATTGAGACAGAAAAACGCAAAGCTGGACACACAAAGATTGAAGCTCATTCTGACATTGAATTTACTTTCAACATTATATTTAACCGAATAAAATACTACGTAATGAAAATGTCAAAAAGACGCTCTTTCCATAGCATGCACCTTTTGCATGCAACACAATTAACACATGCACAGTTGCACATAAGAGCATTTTCAGAACACTAACGTGATCTTTCTAACGTGATAAAATGAATGAGATGAAAGCTGTACAAAATTCAATAACTAACATTGAGACAGCCATAAGCAATAAAAAAGTCTAGTCATATTTCTACACTGTCAGTAAATAAATATATAACTAATAATACAACGAAAATACTTACAGGGATTTGAATATAATTACTTTGTTAAAAAAAGCCTTCAGCATGCAAAATAAGTTCTTTTGAAAAAACGTTGTATACTTGAAGAACGCGGTTCTATGTTTCCCCTTATTTCTTTAAAATTCTACATGCCACTTTCAGTTAGCTCACTTCTATCTGTACTTTTTCACTTTAATTTTCTTTATTAGCCCAAAGGGGCGGTAAACCAGAAGGTCTATTAGTTTCGTGTGTGTGTTTGATTATGGTAAAGCTTTGAGGACTATCTGCCTTAGGGAAGGGGTGCCTTCGTGGAGGACTTTCTAAGGGAAACTGGCTCGTACACAGGTTACACATAGGGAAAACCACGAAAACTATCATGCAGCCAGCCCATTCGCGGGATTCGAACCTCGGACCGAACTACCAGTGTTCAGCGACTTTACCGCTCGGCGGCTGGTGGGCGTCTATTAGTTTCGAAACAGCATTTTGCATTGTTTCTCTATAAATGTCCGTTTAACTTTTCAGATTGTTGTCCCCAAATATTATCACCTCATTTAAAGAAATTAAATAATGATGAATCTGCGCGAATGTATGTATGTCTCTCGCATTGTGAAAAAACGAGGGTACCTAAAGCCATCCAATTTTGAATAACGTAATCCTCCACCCGAACATGGGCACCTGGATGCCCGAATTTGGAATTTGTTTTATTATCTATTTCGTATTTTGTAGCACTTTAGCGAACTTTTGATTAACGATTTTAAATCGAGCAATGGCAACACTGTACAGAAAATAATATTTTTATTTCCAGCGCGCTAGACTGTCTATCGGAAATTCTAAAAATATACTGTTTTTAAATATTTTGAGATATTGCTGTTTAGTTGAATTTTATGTGATTTAAGTAAGAACAGGATATTTAATAAATAAAGGTAACACCCAAAACCTTAAAAAAACGCCCCTTTGGGTATAATATAAAATCTGAAAGCTTCCAGATTTGATTTATTTTTGGATAATCTTACTCGGTTCTTGTACACGTAAAAAATCATAAAATGGGGCTGAATTTTTGCTCAGTGTGTAGATGGAGAAGTGGCGGACCACACATAGATAAAATTAACGTGTGCGGTACTCCGAAGGTCGCAATGTTCGAGCTATTATGAGGTATGAAACGGAAAGCTATAATTCGTTTGGCTCCGCTTAACATTACAAGAATCTTATCATAACTTCATGGCCGGTGTCAAGGAGTTTTAGCGATCACCGAAGCCTCTCGATTTCAGGGTGGCTGAAGGACCAATAATCAGGATGCCTCTAGAATATTGTTTGAGCTATAACGAATCAGAGGACACAAAATAAAACCTAAGAATTAAAATGCTGTGACTAATTCAGTCTGAAAACTGTTTTAGACAAGGCAGAAACTCAGAATGCTTTTAAACTCTTGTCGTTAGCAAGATCCTCACATAATGAGGACAATAACTTACAATATTTTTTGTGTCATTAATGCTGTTATGTATTTTAATAGAAATTCTCATAGATTTGTATTAAATGGATTGCACAGATTGTGGTTATTCGTTACCCGCGACTACCACAGAGGCCTTTGAATTTCTACTGGTACACTTCGACTGGACAGCACTACTTTTTTATTGTTTGCCAGTTTTACCTTCTGGGAAATCATACTCATCGTTTCTAGAACTTCTTTTCAAAATGAGACTGTATATTTTTTGAAAGTATATTTGGAAGCTTTAAAATCGCATAGGCAACTGAGTAGTTACTTCATTGCACCATTTTTATTTTAATACTCTCATCCTGTTTCTTGTTAATTTTAATCTATACTTAAACTATTTTATCTTGAACATTCTCTTAATGGGGTTGGATACTTCCACAGCATGTCATTGGAAACTTTCAGATTCTGTCAAACTATAATTGAGCAATTGTCTAATTACGATGGTAATTAATTAATTATATTTCATCCTATATGTTTGTCATTTTACTTCATTATTTTTAGACTATCTTACTTAGTTCTTGGACATGTAATACCGTATAAATTTTCTTTTAGTTTCTGGAATCTGTATCAAAATTTCTATATGGTGCATACATTAAGTTATGAAGACGAGAAATTCAAAATGCGATATAGCACTTACTTTCTTTTGATCAGTGGGACCTAGATGTTTGGAGATATAATCCAACTCTCGAGCTGTGATTGTCGGATGATCTCTTGGAGTTTCATAAATTAATAAATAGCACAGAAGACACCAGGCGAAGCCACACAGACCTTAAAAAATGACAGTATATGAGATTAGAGAATGCACGAATATTGAACAAATTGTGTATCACAAAATTCCAATTAAATGTGTTATTATGAATACAGATTTCGTGGATTAGTTTTATATATAAACTCTTTATGTCTCTGTAGTGGCTTTAAAATTTTACTCGGTTTAAAACATACCTAAAATAATTAAAATAAGATGACTAACTGCAACTATTTAATTTATCAAATGGAAAAACCAATGTAAAACAATAAATGAACCAAGCCAATGTAAAATTTAAAGATAGGTCAAAACATATTAGTTTAACGTAGATATTGAATAAAATTCTATGGACTTCGAGGACAATCAGACACATGCTCTTCTTCTTCGGAAGCAAACACAAATTGTGCGATTTTTTTCCCTGACGAAGACAGAATTGTGTTTGATCACCCGCGAAATTAATCAAAATACTATTGACAATTTATCTATATTTTAAGCAATTTAATTTGGAAAATATGATTGAGTTGATTATTAGACTTGGTAAAACTATATCAAGATTTAAAATAAGAACACTCTTCAAAATACATAGAACATGATTTTTGTTTATATCACTTTTTGTTTATATTGTTTACATTTCGATAGTAGTCAATGGGAAACCAAAAGTTAATGGCTGGGCCATGGACCTTATAAGAAATAGACTAAACCAAACGGATTTTCTCTGCGGCGTTGCCGGCTGTCACCTTGATCACAACCGGAAGAGTAGGGACGACTTACAGAAATTTAACATTGGTTGCCTATTGCAGCGTGTATAAATGTCAATAAAAATCTGGTTGTAGCGTCTCATTTCACAAATTAGAATTTCTCCATATTTTTTATTTTTCAAATTGAGATTGATTTTTAAAAATTTAGCATATTTGTTAAGCATAATTAACTTTCCGAATATTATGAAGCTATTGCATGCTTTCAGGACTGGATATTTTTTAGCTTTTCCTATGCTGTAAAGAAATTTGTAACTACTTCTTTCAGAAAATAATATTTTTAATCTGAACTAATAGAAAATTTCAAACAAGTAATTTTCTCTTGCAATTTTTATGCTTTTTATTGGTATAAATAAGTAAAAAATACTAAATATTTAAAAACAAATTTTTTGAAAGTTTTGTTTAAAATTCTAAATTGTGCTGCTTTTTTTTTAAATTATAGATGAGTATTATAGCACAATTAATTTCTATAAAGGAATTTTTTTTTTTTTTTTTTTTTTTTTTTTTTTTTTTTTTTTTTTTTTTTTTTTTTTTTTTTTTTTTTTTTTTTTTTTTTTTTTTTTTTTTATTTTTTTTTTTTTTTTTTTTTTTTTTTTTATTTCAATTTATTTCATAATACATCATAGTGATAAACCCTTTGACTCCTTAAAAATTTTTATACATTATTCTAATATTAAAATTGTATTTAACCGTAATAATTAATTTTGCTTGTATTTATAGCGATTATTTTTTTTAATTTTTTTAGTTCTGCATAATTTTTTTTTTATTTACTGTTAATTTAATTTATTAGCCTAAAGGGGCGGTAGGCTAGAAAGGCTGTTAGTTTCGAAGCGGCATTTTGCGCTGTTTTACTATAAATGTCCGTGTCTCCTTGCAAATTGTTGTTACCAAATATCATCGCCCTGCATTATAGTAAAGAAATTAAATAAGAAGAATCTGCTGAATACATGTATGTTTCTCGCACTGTGACAAAAACGACAGTATCTAGAGCCATCAAATTTTGAATAATGTAATCCTCCACCCGAACATGGGCATCTGGACGGCCGAATTTCGAATTTGTTTCAATGTATTTCATATTTTGTAAAACTTTAATGAATTCTTGATTAACAAACTCAACGAGTTCAGAGCGAGCACTGTACGGAAAATAACAGTTTTATCTCCAGAGCGGAAATTCTAAAAATATGCTGTTTTTAAATGTATTTGGTTTACGGGCGAAGAACATGATATTCAATAAATATAGGTAACACAAAAAACTTGTTTTGAACTTTGTTTGTTGAAAGTGGTTTTCGTAAAATATCCAGAGGTATCGATTTCCATTCCTTTTCTACTACTTTTCAGAGTCAGTCAAAGGTGATGGGTTTGCCCCCAGGAAGAGCTCCTTTCAAGAGACCAAAGGCACAATAGTCCGTAGGTGAAACGTCAATGGACTTTGACGTCAATACTTGAAAAATCATACATATAAATACTTGTAATCAGTCTTTCAGTTTTTTCAATTAATATAGTGTTACTTTAGTATAACTTGTTGCTTTGCCTTGATGAAGTTTTACTCTCTGAAAGTCCTTTGGATAAATATATAAAATTTCTTTTGTAAAAATAGACGTAAAATTTTCTCTTGATAGTATGCTAAGTTGATTTTAACGTTTTATCCCACTCTTCTCATTTCTAATTTCCTATTATACGAGAGTCCTGCCACCGTCATATACCCCTTTTCTTTGCATTGATGGAACCAGGTTTGTACAATTTTTCTTTGTTTTTGATAAATACACCTTCTTTTTTTGTTTAGCCATTTAGATATTCCCATGCTTCTTCAAGGGTCACAATATATTTCCATGTATCTCCTCTTAAATAGTTTTCATACAGTTTTCTACAAATTATCCTGCGTTGAGCCACATACCTCGGTAAAAGCTGGTGAACATTATATTCTTTGGCCTTTTTTAAGCTGGTAATCTTCGTTCATTGTTGTATTTATTGTTGCTACAGATGTATAATTAATTCGGTGCATTTTCTCTTATTATCAATGGCTTAACTTTTAGAAATATTATCTACATTTTTGGGGTATTCATTTGGCGTCTTCATCACTAGTAGAAGTAATGATTGAAGTTTTCTCGCTTTCCGATTAATAATGTTCCTTATTTTGCACTAAGAACTTTTCAATACCATGCTTTGTACAACGTTTTTGAATTATGGAATAGGAATATTTCTCTTCGGAAAGCGCTAAAACATATCCTTCAATCCACTGCTTATTTACATGTGACATTTTGAAAGAAGACTAAATGTAAAAGTAGCAGACAGTATTTTTGATTTCAAATAATAAACTGTTGCTAGAATTTTTTATTCCAAAACATTTGCTTTTCTTTAATTCTTTATAAAAATCGTTCTAAAAATGAGTAAACATTTTCCGTTTTTCTCTTACAAATTTTGCTTTATTGGAATAATTTCTGATGGGAATATTTCGTTTTGTCCACAGGAAATAAGCTTGACATTTTTTTCGATAAGGCCGGATTAAGCAATCGAACTGGTTAATCAAGAGTTGATTGTACGTCGTTGCTTTGAAGCATACGTTTATATTGTCACTGTAAAGCGTAAGCTCAGTACTCCTGAAATCTATCAGCAAGTTCTGTAAACAGATTATTACCCACATACTGTATGAGAAAAATTAATTAATGGCGGTTTATTTTTTTCCCTTGATTATTTATTCTGTAATGCAATTCTTCATAATATCTCAGATTTTTTGCCGTGTTTTTCCAAATCTGGACTCACAATTATACCAGTAATCGATTCACGGAGTTAAAGAAAAAAGGTACTTTCGTATTATCGCAAACGCCTTGGCGCAGTTTGGCAACGGAAGAAAAATAACAATTACTTTTATTGTATAAAATTATATTTTACATACATATATATTTTATGTTTCAACTATATATTTATTTCAAAAAACAATCAGTAAATCTAGTAACAAACAGGTTTTTGATTTTATTGTGGTGGAAATTTCGCAGCGATCGCTTTAGGAAAGATTTCAAGCATTGTTCCTTAGTTACTTTCCTGCAAAATACTGTATTCCTGCAGATATTTCATCTATGTTTCTACTGTTGTACAACAATCCTACTAGCAAACATTTTAAAATCGAGTTTAGACAAAAATTAATTATAATTTTTCTATACAAGCCGTTTCTTTACAACTTCCGATATTCATCTTCTATTTGCTGCACAAACCCATAAACTTTATGTTTCATATTTACGCGACTCTTAAATTAAAATGTATGACACACTTCTTGTTTCCAACTAGTTAAATCAGCATATCGGAAACTTTTCACTTGTCACGTTACATTATAGAAAATGTTATCAGGTATTTGCAAGCTGCTAAAATATAGTAGGAGGGAAATACGTATGAGCGTTTCTTCTAATCAATATATAACTTGAACCCGCCATTCACTGAAAATAATGCAGTATTAATTCTGCCTTCAAAAGCTGAAATAGAAAATGGTGACAAACAAAATGCAACCTTTATTCGCTGAATATTAATTTACTCTTCTGCTAGTATTAACTCGTTTTGTGGACAAATTTACCCTGAATCTTACAATGAATCCAATAGCCATCACTCTGAGTGGACGGTTAGATTTTTCTCGCTAAAGTTTATCTAATTTGCTGCGATTTCGCTTCCTGTGAAAACATAAGGGTTTCAGTGCTCATATTAAAAGTATACTTTTAACTTAATTGTTCAATGCTTACAGAGGCAATGATCGTTTAATGGTCGCAGAGAACTCAGAATAAGGCCTATCACCCAAAATCGACCTTCATTCATGTTTCATTTATCGACCCATACACTGCCAACACCTGCATAACAGCGTTCTGAAACAAAAAAACATTCTCACCGACACCAAATGGCCTCACCAAAGAAGCAAATATCAGAGTAATAATTCCCACGCCTTAATATTTCCGTAAAGAGAAAAATGTCTTACTTCATTTACAGCTTTTTAACTTCTTTCATTTATTACTTTCCAAAAAGCTTTTAAAACTGGACAAGTTGTCTTTTTCGCTAAGAAAAATAAAGAACCAACAATCCCCTCCTCTTTACTGCGTATATATTTACTTACTGGGCTGGGAAAGACCTGTGATTAGATGCTTATCAGCAGTTTAAAACACAACTTAGAAAACAGAAATTACTGAAGCCCATGCCAATTTTGATTCAGATGTATAATAGGAGGGAAATTCACTACCCATGCCCTAGCAGAACTATAAGCGGAGATTCTAAATAGCACGGAGTAGAAACAATACTCAGTTGTCATCTCCCTATAGGTAAAGTAGCTTTCGGCTCCCTATGGTAGCCTGCTATCAAGCAGGCATTCAGCTAACCTATACAAGACCTTTTATAACTATCTTGCAGACAAAGAATTTCAATGACATCATATAACATCCACAAGTCAGAGGCTGCCCACAAGGTTTATGTACAAGCCCAGATCTCTAGAATCTCACATTTAACCAAGTGATCAATCAGTCCTGGCCGTCATATGTAAAACGAGTAGTATATGCAGATGACGCCATATTTTTCATTATTGAGACTACTCTAGACGAAATTAAGCAGCGTAGTACAGAAGTATGCAACATCTTCGCAAACTTGCTCCACAGTATTAAATTAACAATCTCTGAGACCAAATGCACAGTGCTGCTCATTCCTAAAAAGGGCAAGAATCCAGTTACGAAGAGGGTGCATTCCTATTAAAGGAGAAAATATAAAATTTTCAATGAAGTCAAATTCCCAAGGCTTGTGTGGGATAAAGGTCTTACCAAGCTACTTCCCATAGTATACCTTAAAACAAAAATTCAAGCCATTGTAAACAAAATATGCAAGTGCAGAGCGTCACGTGGGGAAGAAAAACCTCACCTCCAAAAATTACTGTGAAAAACACTAATCGAAAAAATTGTTATGCAGCTGCCATCTGGCTGTCACCAATAGGAGAAAGCAAAGTTAAACAGATACTCTCAATACAACGACTATTTACCCTCACCATAACCAGAGTCTTCCGAACAGCAGATGAACCTCAACGTTTTAGCCGGCCTACGTTTCCTCCACATCTGCGTTGAGCAAGAGGCAGTGCTAGCGAATTTACTCCATCTGCAACAGGACATTACTTACTATAGCTTCAAAATCGCACCGACAGAGTTTGCCCTACTACGTACTACAACCCGCACCCATCCAGTAGACAGAGGAAAGGGCATCAAAATCATACTGGCAGAGCATAGCGACTCAGAGCCGACCTCAGCCATCTTCAAAGACAGTTCAAAATCTGATGCAGGTGCAGGAAATGCCCAGATAGTCATCAACTCTGCACAGAATTATCACTGGAAGGGGCACCTCGCGGAACATAATAGCTTCTTCCACGGAGAGCCATATCCTTTGAGCGAACAGTCTCCGGTGCCTTTACATGAATCTCCGAAATAAAAAAAAATAATCCCAGATAGCCAATCTGCGCTGCAAGCGATCCACAATACTTTACATTCCTCACAACTAGTAAAGTCCATCGAACATACATCTGAACATCCCCCTCCAATGGACTAAGGCACATGTAGGATATGCAGGGAATGAGCTCGCTGATTCTCTAGCTAGCAAAAGAAGCGGCATCTAATATAGGGGCAATAATATAATGTCAATAATATAGGGGCAATAATCTAATATAATGTCACTTTCCGGCATCAAGGTCCTATCTTAAGCGCGGTATTCTGAACATTTCTCTGCAAAAATGACAAATGGAATGGGACAATAGCAACAAAAGGCGTTGTACGCACGATTTGCTCCCAAAGGTCTACATATACAGACTTTACTCTGCCTCACAGCTTATCAGATACATCAGCGGAGATAGTCCATTCCCTGAATATTTCTTCACACCAGCCATCATGAACTCGGATCTTTGCATTTGCGAAGCACAAGGAGGCCCTAACCACTACATGTCACGGATTGTCCACTAACCGAAAGGTTCCATATTACAGCGTCTTGTACCAAAAATCAATTCATTCAGACGTTTTATATTGAGAAGTACAGAGAATCTACAACATTGTTAACCTGTTAATTTCACCAGGACTGGATACTGTGGCCACAAACTAAGATCTCTGTCAATCTTCTTCATAAAACGCATCTGTAGTATTTGTACAATCAAATGTACGATATACTCCACCACCAGCGACACAGCCAACCAATGCCACTATGGCCAGAAAAATGCAACAGTAATAAAATAAGTAATAAATTAATGTAGTCAAGTAGTAACGTATTTACGTATTCAAGTTTATATCAATTTATAGTTCAAGCTTATATGAATTTATGTATTCAAGTGTAAATTATAACATAGAAGAAATGAATGCATACAGGAATTAATGTATTAAGGCACTCAATGTAAGCATAGGTATTTTATGTATCCAGGAATTAATGTATATATGTATATAAATGTTAACAACCTTTTACCGAAATGCTCATATAATTAATGTACATAGTTTAATGCATTCAAGCAGTCAAATATCATTATTGTAATCAAGTATTAAAGTATATAACTGGTATTCAACTAACATAATCATACTGTTGTATCAACACATTTATGTATTCAAATAATGCAAATTCTCAAATAATGAATGTAATGTATTCAAGTGTATTATTGTAATCAAGCACTTAAGTGTATAACTAATATATCCATGTAACTTAATCATGTAACCAATGTTTTAATGAATTCAATTGAGAAATCATATATAATGTTCTAAATATTTGATGCATTTAAGAAGTATGGCAACGTGCGCCCAAGAGCATCATCAGTGCATTCTAACAACTAATGCTTACATATTCATGTAGCTAATATATTTATGTAATATCATCCAGGTCCCTGTTTGTTCATGCTACTTTATAGAGAGACAAATTCCCGAGGCAGGCCTCCAGGGACTCGAAGGTGTTGCTGGTTCTAGACAGTGAAGGGCGTGGGGCATATACTTCTTTTAATTTTGTTAGATACCAGGTGTCCCAATCCTCTGCCACCTGTCATCTGTTTTTAATCTTTCACTCGTTCACATTTTTAAAAGTGACTCAATATTTGAAAAGCTGATTGAATTCATGTATGCCTGTTACTCTGTTTAGTTAAACTTCGCAGTTCGCTATATTCTTTTAATTAATTAATTCGTTTTAAAGCAGCTTCGTTTGAAGCCATTACGTATAGCTGCTGATAGAAGCTAATAAAAAGTTTGTAAACGTAATATTCACTGAAATATTTCGGCGGAAATTAGTTTACGCGTTCTCTGAAAAGTAAACGTATTATGTTTTTAAATTCGAGACAATCCGTTGAGAGAATGTGAGATAATCAATTTATTTATCTAGACATAAATATTATCTTTCTATCATAAAAACTATCCTTACCAGTTTTTTTTAACTGGATATGGCTAGAGTAATAGACCGTATATATTTCAAGTAAGGGTGAGTTAGGTAAAAAAAAAAAAAAAAAAAAAAAAAAATTGTCATTTTGTTTATAGTAAATGTTGACTATGGGAAAGCGAAAACTATTCTTGTAATGAGCATTTTATTTACAGAAGAATATATATCTATATATATTTTCAGTTATTCATTATGTGCTCTGAGATGGAAATTTTAACAGCATTTCTGCAAAGCACATTCTACCGAAAATCGGTTAGAACACCTTCCTATAGCAACGGTCTGCAGTAAACATTCTATCGGGAAGTGCTCTTGCAACAGTCGGATAGTATTGATGCTACTTAAGTGCAGTTTTTTTTTTTTTTTTTTTTTTTTTTTTTTTTTTTTTTAAGTCATTGAATTTATGCTATTCAAAAGTTAAGCTATTCCAATAAAACTTAAAGGAAATGAAAAGGTAAAGTGAGAAATTACCTCCAACGTAAAACACCGCAGGCCAGCCACCAAGGAAATCGGAAGCGCAAAACATACCAGCAGTTAAGAAGGATAGGAAAGCTCCCACTCCATATCCCGCCAAGATGAAAGATGCATTAAAACTGCGCTCAGAATCTGGAATCCATCGAGATATGAGATAAAATAGCACAGGTATTACAGGAGCCTATTAGGAGAAAAAAAAAGGAATTTGTGTTTTAACAATATTGAATGGAATCACACGCTAGCAAAATGTTCGTACCGACTCTAATATGGAAAACATTTCTTTTGTCTCTTTTGCTTAAATTTTAGTAATAATTCCCAGACAGAGCTGATGAAAGTTCTCGTTAAGAAATTTCTCTACTTTTAAATGTAGTCTTCTAAAATGTTTACTATAATTTTTATAATATATTTTTCTAGTCTTCTAAATATAGTGTTCATTTATTCTAAAATGTTCGTTTGGTCATAGAGAGATATATCTGGCGCCAACGATGAAGCCAATGCTCAAGTGGTGGCGCCATCTGTTGAGAAGAATTCTGTCCGCTGCCGGATATGTTGAACTCCTTTGATTGGAGCAGGATAACAGCGCAGCAGAAATATTTCGTACTAAAAAATCATGCAAGAAAATATACTAGACCAAATTTATATATATAATGCATAGTCACTCACATTAGGAATTTAATTATATTATTTTATCAATATAGATGAGTTCAACATAAAACTGTTAAACTGCTTATGTAATTCAAACGTAAAAAGCAAAATGCCAAAACTCACTTCATTATAGCTATTTAAAAGCTTAGCATTTTAAGTTATTTAATTTTTTTATTTGCTTAGAGTCATGTTTATTATTTAATATGCGGTTTACGTATGCATTTTGACTTATTTAATATAGTAATTTCAAGTGTTCTTATATACAAATCAAACCGTAAAAATATGTATCATTACTTCAGCAGATTTTACTTAATTTATTTAATTTCTTTCTTTATTATTTTTAATTTCAGCATTTATTATTTTTATTAATTGTATTATGAAATATTAAAAAACAGCGCAGTTTATAGGTGAGGAAAGTCTGGTTTTGTCAAAAAATATTTGAAATTAAGAGTATTTAAAACAGTAATTTTGAGTGTTTGAAATTTAAAGTTTTAAAAGGATTTATAATTTATTTCTTTCTTTTACTCAAAACCTTGTTTATTTAACAAGACCTATTTACTTGTTAGAAATATTCTTTTTGTTGTTACTGATAAATGAAGGAACATTAGAAGTTTAGGAAATACTTGTTTTCGCAAAACATTTTTCATTTCAAAACTTTTATTCCAAAACACCATGAATTCTGACTTTTTCCAGTGCTTTAAGATGGTTAGATTAGGTTAGGTTATTAGGGTATGGAAAAACATGCAAACAGCTATTAACCTAGGAAAAGTGAGACCTTCGTGGAGGACTTTTCAAGGGAAAGTGTATGGTATTCACGTTACAGATGGAGGAAACCACGAAAACTAACCATGCAACCAACTTGTTCGCCCGAGATCGAACCCAATTTGAACTAGCAATATTCAGTGGTCTTAATCATTTGTCCAATGGTGAAACGCATTTTGAGCTGTTAAATAGATACCATTCTCTATCAAGATCTTTAAATTTTAAAATGCGTCAAACAGAAACTTTGTTTTGGTGAAGATTTTAAATAAAATTTTATTGATTTCGAGGGACGATGAAACAAAAGTCTCTCTTCTATAATCCAATACAGGAAATATTCTATCCTGGGAACTATATCTGTTACAATTCAAATGCCAAAATACATTGGCGTGTTTATCTTTCTATTTGCTTTTTTGTTACTATCATCATTTTCGAGATTAATGTTCTTTCGCCTTTGAAAGATCTTTATTTAAAATTTACGCGAAAATAAGTTAATGTTTTGCTTAATTTTTCATTTCACATTCTCATCTTATTCGTATTTTCTCAACATTTGCAAAATTAAAAGCAGGGGGCATTACAATATGAAAATAATCTGAGTTTCACATTTCTGAATTTGGCTTTGCTAAACGCGTTTATATAAGAACTTTGAAATTTTTTCTTTCGAAAACTTTGCTAAGAATTCAGTACAACAGCACATATTTCACTATTAAATATCTCAATATCTCTTTCTAGGATTTACTTTATTTAGCTCATTTTACAAGAACTTTCATTTTCGTTCCTGGATATTCACTTTTTATGTCTAAAAATTAAACACTGTCGGCTGAAATTTATTCCTCCAGTTGGTTTTATTTGTACCATGTGAAGATTTCATAAAATTGTGGTACCTTTCATTTTATTTTCTACTGACGAAAGAAGAAGATAAATGCGATATTCAGTCATGAATATTCAACGATGAAGGTATTCAGCCATGAAGATATTCAACTAACAATATTATCCCATGAATATTCAACCATGAAGATAGTCAACCAATAGTATTCAACCATGAAAAACATTTAACTTTCAGGATATTGCGCCATGATAATATTTAACTATAAATATTCAACCATGAAGATATTCAACCCTAAATATTCAGCCATGAGTATTTAATCATGAAGATATTCAAATAACAATATTCAGCCATGAAGATAATGATTAATGCCATATTCAGCCGTAAGTAATAATCCAAGTTTAGATTTATTCTCTTGGTAAGAAGAAAGCTAAAATCAGAAAATGAGCCTTAAAAGAAATTCTGTAGTGCAGTTGAATCAGATTTAGTTTGTTATACATAATTTTTAATTGCATTCACAATAAGGTATAAATCAATATATCTAACTATCTTATATTATTTACACTGCTGTTATTCGGAAGGAAGAAAGTAGAATATTCCATGGTAAACAGTCTAGAAATCTAAAAATGTCCCAAAAGCAGTAGATCTAGTATGAATGTAATAACAGTTTTCACCCTGGATCAGAGTCGAATCATACACTTTGGACAGACGGCAAGCCGAGATCACGGACATATTTCACTTTGCATTTATTTAACAAGACTTTGAAGCGCAACTAAGATTCTATAATTAGTTTATAAGGAATTTTCACTTTTCCCACTGCGTGCTATAGAGATATAATTGGTAGTACATTGGTAGACTTACTATCGAAAGATCCGAAATTCTGGGAAACGTATAGTTGATTTTTCATGATTCATGTTCCAAATAAATGTCTAATAGATTTTACAAGTTTTTTTAACACAAAAGGTTGTTTGACTTCTAAATTAATAAGTTTTAGTTCTCTCCCGTTTTTCTAATTTACTGAAGTTTCCTTACTTTATGATACTTTTATTTTTTTAATATTCTTTCCATTCATTTGCAAATTATGCCTCTCCTCCATTCATTTCAATTAATTTTAACTTAACTCACACTATGTTTTAGGTTATATCCTTTAAAAAAAGATAAGTCTTCAAAATAAAATTGTGCAAAAATAAAGTAACTGAACAATTTCTTACAAAAAGAAAATAGATCCTTAAGATAAATTTATCTCCTTCAAAATGATCGCCATAAGAGCCTATAAAGTTTTTTCATTATTTCTTCAGATCATCGAAACACTGCTTACATGCGCTGGAGCTAACCGATCGCAAAATACGAGTAACATTTGATTTAATATCAGAACGTTTTCAAATCTGTTCTTTCATATCCATCTTAAGCTTCGTGAATAGGAAAATATCAGCTGGCGATTAGCCAGGAGAATATGGTGGGTAGTTTATCACTGCAATTGAATGTTTAGTAAGATATGAATGTGCAGACAACTCTGTATGGGGGCCTAGCATTGTTGTCTAAAATAAATCATTGCCCAGAATCAAAACGTTCTTTCCAAACTGTGTCTCTTAATCGAAAAAGAACTTCCCTGTAAAAATACTGGTTCATTGATTGATTTTAGGGAGAAATTCATACTGAATAAGACCTTTGTGATAAAAGAAATGCAATCAGCATAACATTATTCTTTGATTTCGACTTCCGTGCCTTTTTATGTGGAAGTAGACTATCCTTTTCACTGTGCACTGTGTCTTTTTTTTTATTCTCTGAGTCGTATTATACACAGCAGGCCTCATTTCCAGCTACAATACAGTGTAAGAAATTATTGTCCTATCTTTATAGCAGTCAGCAAATCTTCACAGTAAGCTTGTGTGTTTTCGTTTTGCTGTTTTCAAATCAGAGGTACAAACTGAGCACGATCGGTCCTCATTTTCAGATTTTTATTTAAAATTAACCTAAAGCTTTCCTTGCTTACCCCAAGCACTCAAGCATGTATGAAAGTAGTTGAGTTGTCTATCACTTTTTACCAAAGAACAAATTTTCTCCGCGTTTTCCTCATTCTTTGAAACTGAATGGTGCCCTATCGTTGGTTTATCTTCAACGCTTTCGAGCCCATACTAAAGCAATTGTACCACTTATACATATATTGTAGAGACATTAGGTATTTCTTGGAAGCAGGCAAGATGAAAAATGAGCAATCGCCTTCGCTGGGAATCGAACCACGGACCTGCAGACCGCCCCAGCGTCGAACACTAAACGAAGGCCGCTGGGAAGCGGAGAAAACCTTTCAATCGCCCTGTTAAAGAGCGACTGGGTTTTTCGAGAACCCATCCAAATCCGGGTGGAAGAGAAGCATCCTCCACACCCTTTTAGTTCTGGCGGTACTGTAAGACATTCATAATTATAAAGCCGGAGCGATGAAAATTAGCAACCCTTCGCATGGAATCTACCACGACTCTAAACCTCCACATGCAGAACCACTACACCATGAAGTACGCTAGAATGCGGAAAATACCTTATTATAACCTGTATTGTTTTTAATAATGATGCATTACTATATACTCCTCGAATTATCTCATGTTTCGGTAGCAGATTTACCTATGTAACAAAATTCAATGTTATAACGTTGTTCCATCTCGAAACAAATATTTTTTATACAATGTCTTCTCACGAAATGAAAATTACGCCTGCGTTTTGGTACCCAAAGGACAAACTAAACAGTTTAACCTGGGTTTACAAGAGATATCTCTCTTTCTAAACATAGACTTATTCTTTCACTTTTTACTTTTATGGATGGTCTTTTAATTTGTCCGGTTACTTCATGGGCGTAACTGCGTACCTTGTATTTTCAACATCGCGTCCTAATTATTTAAATATACGAAATTAGGCGTTAAATATATTTGTTCTGCGATAAACATTTTACATTTCCAGTTAGTCGCCAAAATGATTAAATTGAAATATTTGTCTAAGAGAGATACAAGTTTTTTGATACCTACAAATGTTGTTTCGTGGGTATTGAACCAATCTTTCATTACTTCTGACATTCTCATCACTAGTAAATCTAAACCCACAAAGATAATCCTTAAATGCTAGATGGATGAAAAAATAACTTAGCTTTATATTGAAATTATACACCATATTTTGTAGTCATTAGGTTAATTGGAAGCAGAAAATAAAATGCACCGCTTCGCCGGGAATGACCAGGACCTCTGATACCGCCAACGGCTACCGTTACACCACGAAGGCACGCCAGGGAAGTGAGAGAAATACCTTATAATATGATGTAACGTCTTTCGCCAAAAATGTTACAAGAACTTCCAGATATCCCTTCTAACATATGCGTGAGTATCATCATGTAGGAACAACTGATTTTGTATAGGCGACCCAGGGTATAACGTCAGATGGAAAGATAAATCCAACAGAATATTATTGTAAACCTTCCAGTATTGCACCAAATTAGTATGTCTATGAGTGCTTTTTTAAGGAATGGACCACATTATGTCTTTCTAATCCGGAAGTACAATATCTAAGATCTTACCAATAGACCACACTACTTTAAATTTTCGGCGAGGACATACATGAGTAGTAAACATGCTTCTGTGTTATTGTTGCACATTTTCATATGGGAGTGCTATGTTGAAACATTGCTATATTGAGAATGACATTTCAAAATTGCAAATTTTAAAATTAAATATCATGGCCAATTTTCGCCGCAAGACAATCAAATTTCTTTTATTTGTTTTTACTTTTTCATAACGAATATGAAACTTTCCCAGATATAAATATAAGAATCAGGAGACCACATTAAAAGTTAGACTTCATTATTTGTAGAAAATTATTTTTTTAACTTCACATTACCAAAATATGAATATTTTCGTCACTTAAAACACTTTTATGGTTGGAATTTTATGGTTAAAACACTTTTATGCGACCAAAGACTGAGAAAATAAAGACCGGGCAAGGACTTTTAAACCGAGTAGGGAGGTGAAAGTAAAAAGAGAAGGTGCACAACTAGATGTGTTATAACAGTTTCATATACAAAATTTCAATTAATTGTTTTTGAGTTATGCAAAATACATGCATAAATACATACATACGTACGTACGAAAAAAATCCCTTTTGAATCCACTTTAAATCAATTTTACAATCCGTTTTGAAAAAAAAAAGTTCTATCCGTACGTACACACGTCACACAAAGAAAATCGTCCGAATGTCTTCGGGAACGGTCAAAAGGGATATTTCTGTTAAAGTACGATACCCGAAATTTTTCGCGATTACAGTATTTCCTTTACTTCGTACAAAAAAGTAAAAAACTGCTTTCGTAATGTGACTAATCAAAAATATACTCTGAAAATAAAACAAAGATTTAACTTACTGTTCCAACTCCAATAAGAAACCTACATGCAACGAAAGCAAACACTGATAGTTTTGCAGCCAAGGGTATTAGGATTGTACATGCAGATGCCAAGGCAAGAAATATGAGGAGAGTCCGTTTCCCACCATATAATTCAGCCATACGGCCGCCAGGCATGAAACCTACCAACTGGCCATAGTAAACAGCTCCTAAGGCTAGTCCTTCGATTTCTGGACTCCAATGAAATTCTCCTCGCCTTTCTGTTTCCTAAAAAAAATGAAGGGAAAATGGTATTATTATGCTCTATGAAATCATCCAGATCTTTTCATATGATACTCCAATGAGGAGGAAGAATTTGATAATT